CTTTGATTCTTTGCTTGATTGTCTAACATCTTTTCGCTCATATACTGTACAACAATACATAGAAAAAGTCGAGTAAACAAATGCAGACAATTAAATACTTCAAAGAAACTTTTATTTTTGAATCGGCATAAAATTTGATTTCATCACCTTGAATAAGTATTGTCGTCAGAGAGTTACAAGGTTTCCAACCAACCATGACGGTGACGTTGGCACGTAACAACGTCACATCAAAATAGGGCTTTTCGTCATGCCAAGTCGGTTATTGCAAAGGTATTATCATTGAAATCGTAATTTATACAGCAGACAATCATACTCATTTTTTCACCCTAAAATTGAAAAACACTCTGGTCTATTTGGTCCACGAGCTTGGCAACTTTACCTCGATTTTACTGTCATATTCGAAAAAATTGTTTTTATTTAATCCCAAATTTGATATGCGTTTCTTTTTCCTTTCAGTATATTTTTCAGCACATCATACAACTATTGCTAACGATAAATTAAAATCAAAGTTTTTAAACATCATAAAAATCTGGTTTTTAAATAAAAACAGAACTCGTGAATTTACCTATCTTGCAACCAGTCATTTGATAGATTGTCCGGTTTATTTTATATTGTTTATTTATTTATTTAGTTATTTATTTTTTTTTTTTGCTTCCCATTTGAAAATTTGACCCTCAAATAGAGACGTGAACATATACAAGTGAACAACTTGTAAAAGGCTTCAAATGTTAAATCTCAACTTGGCACTCAGGCCATTGAGCAGCAAGGGATCTTTATCGTTTCTACGCCAACCGTGAAACTGAGCTTCTGCTTTTAAGGTATCATCCGTAAGACCCACGACTTTCACTTCAAAGTCTCGAGCGCTTGGCATAGAAATAACAGTTGGTACCTAACTGTTATTGCCCAAGGTCAGTCCTTGATTCAAACACAAGATTTTCCGATCATGGGGCTAGCGCTCTACTGACGGAGCAACTGCGACAGTTTAGACATTTGAAATATTATTAAGTACAAAAAATCCTGATTTTACTTATAAGTACTCCACAGTTGATATCAAAGTTTATTCGTGTGTCTAGATTAATAATATTTATGCATTTTTCGGAGACTGTCCTCCAATAATCTTTCGGACTTTATCCACATGGTAAGTTTAATAATATGCAGAATATTTTTAACAGACATTTAAATACCAGTCTAAATCTTTTAGCCATCTTGCTATAGTAAACCATGACACATAGCAACCGATCTTTGGCTGTATAATTTTATGATATCAAAGACTTTTTATCACACAATTTGAGGACATTCTGATCAATTTTTGGAGACCGCCCTCAAGTAATTTCTCGGAATTCCAATGAGTATGAATTTTGCCCCCTCTTAGCAGATTAATTTTTGTATTCAACTGAAGCAGAATTTGGTCAGAGTCTTATGGATTAGAAGAAAAAAACACTCGACATTATAATATATTTTGACGACGTATTATCAATAAACAATATTTATTTCTATTCAAATGACGACTCCAAATAGCCCCTTGAACTCGAATGATACGACAGAGCCCGACACGTCCATATTATATTTGGATATTTTACTAAATAAATGCATAAGGGTAACCTAACAACAAAATTCTGTGATAAACGTGACAACTTTAACTTTTCTTTCATCAACTTCTTTTACTCATGTAGCACTTTACTTGAGTAATTATATCTTAATTAATATGGAGTTTGTTTCCCCGTTGATTTTATACACAAGGGCATACTTTGCATAAAAATCAATTTCAAAAAGCGGTAAGCTATTGAAAAACAAATTGATGAAGCATGAGTATCAATAGGTTAAAGTCAATATTTTGCAAATTCTATATTCAATACAATTATCTTGTCAGCAATTATAATCTATCGTCAAGCCGAATGGTGACTGACGTTTTTATACTTACTGTTGGGCATTATTAACACAAAAATTCTCTATTGTTTGTTGGATTATGACAAGAAACGCCCATGGGAGTGACCGATCGATAGGGAATGCTAAATCCTCCATGGCACTTGATCCAACCTCCGATATTTTAGAAGTCTACATTGATCTTATCCCGATTTTTTTCATTTGACTTTCGAGCTTGATTACGGTTCTTATCTCTATATCTACTCTATAATTAAATTAAGGGAGGTGAAAATATTAATATGCATTTGTGATTATACGTATATTGAAAATATATTTTCATTCAAAATGTTTCTTTCGAAAATCTAATATTGAAATATGTTTTATCCAAATTTTTTAACAAAATTCTAAGGTCAAATTCGAATTCCCTAGAAACTACAGTTAAACAACCAATTAGAAGTCATATTGATTTTAATCCACTATCTCAAGCTGAAATAGGGAAATAACGGCTAGATACAATTGTTTTCCGATTGATGATTTTAATGATAGCCAGACGCAAGAACATCAAGATTTAAAATATCTGAAAATACAGTTATGCCCAAAAATACTTGTCACGAACATTTCAAATGTAGCACTGAACAAATAAAGATATTATCTTGTTTTTTTTTTTTTTTTCAAAATGATTTTCTAACCGATCTTTTTTTCACACTGTATAAGTATTATGGAACCATAAGATTTCGTATTGGCTCATTTTTTTTGCGTGCACTTCTCATCCATGAATGAACATCCTTTACTTATTGATAAAAGAGGGTACAAAGTCATATTTTCGTTTCTAGATATGAGGGAATTCACTATATTGCGTCCCCAGGAACCTGTTAAATACAGGGTGTTTCATAATGTATGTTTCATTTTTAAACCTAACAATTTTTTTTTCTTACTTATCATACTTCTATTACAAACTACATGGTGTATATATCATTTTAAACATCACATCCTGCATTTTTGTTCCATGTGAAGAAGTTAAGGAAATCATGGTCTTGAAATGATTAATTTTGCTATAAACACCAATGTTACAACCACTTTTGAAATAACGACCACTATTGAAATAATTATATCAATAGTGGTTGAGAGTGCATTTCAATAACAAACAGAGATAGTTACCACTATTGAAATACGACCACTATTGAAATAATTATTTCAATAGCGGGAGAGATTCATTTTAATAACAAACATAGGTTGCAACCACTATTGAAATAATGTTCACTTTTGTAATAAAGATTTCAATATGAATAAAATTATTGATTTCAATAGTGCTTTGAACAATGAATCCAAAATATATTGAAATAATTATTTCAAAAGTTGCCCACGCAGTGAAACTTTTCTTTCAATACCAGTAGTATTTCAACAGTGGTTGAGACCTATGGTTACCATATTGAAATGCGTATCACCCACTATTAAAAAATTATTTCAGTAATGCTCGTATTTCAATAGTGGTTGAAACATACGGTTATTATAGAGAAATGCACTCTCACCCACTATTGAAATAATTATGTCAATAGTCGTCATATTTCAATAGTGGTTATTACCTATGTTTCTTATTGAAATGCACTCTCAACCACTATTGATATAATTATTTCAATAGTGGTAGTATTTCAATAGTGGTTACTAACTATGTTTGCTATTGAAATGCACTCTCAACCACTGTTGATATAATTATTTCAATAGTGGTCGTTATTTCAATAGTGGTTACTTACTATGTTTGCTACTGAAATGCACTCTCAACCACTATTGATATAATTATTTCAATAGTGGTCGTTATTTCAATAGTGGTTGCAACACACCAATATCATAATTTGAATATTTCTTGAAATGAACTTGACTTATCCACTCAGTGCTGAATTGTAAAGCTGCTTTTTTTTTATTCATGTCACCAATATCCATTCTATTCATTCGAAAGTTGATCAAATGAATTTTTTAAAAGAATGGAAGATTTCTAGAATGCTTATCAGAAGGGTAACAAGGATAAAGGACAGGGACGGACAATATATGATAAATGACACGGTATTGCAGAGAACTTAAAGACTTTAAGAAGCGGAGATTTAATTGGTGAAGTGGAGACTTTTAGTGTAGAAAACTTCTGAGAAAAGTGTCATAGATATTTTTAAAAATTTATTCTGGCAATATCAGCATTTTCAGCATATAATAAACTTTCAAATATGATGTGAAATTTTCAGTGTACAAATTTTCAATAGTGCAAGGAATGATATTGACCTAAAGTGCTGCATTTGACAATCTCAATCTTTGGGCTCTTTTGCTTAGGGGTATTTAAGGAATAGGGTCTATAATCCTAGACCACAGATACCGAATGAACTTAAAAAGAACATGGACCTTCAAATGAGTGTCTATGCAAAAATATGTGAAAGATTTTATACTAATTTCAAGAAACAACTTTCATTTGTTGTTGAAATAATGGAGATCATTTAATTGGAACAATATGTAATGTGAGATTTTGGCGTTGTGAAATTCAACGTAGCAAAAATGACGCAACTTGGAAATTTTGCCAATTTTCTTTAAAGTTTAAGATTTTGATCATTGTTTAATATTTTAGTTGGTAATTGTACATTATGAATCTTATGGATACGTGCATCAGTTTGATAAAAAGACTTATCAATATCTTTTTCTTGTGTTTGTCAAATTGAAGAATCAAAATGTAACATATATTATGAAACACCCTGTATACTCTATCCAATGAGACCCCGCTAATTTTTATGATTCCACAATACTCCTCCAAGGCACCTAACCCCACTTCATTAATTTCTTGGGGTCATATGCATTCTTCATTGTTTTGTATGATTTGTGTAGTTGTGTAAGTTTTTAAAAGATCAATCACAGTTATTTATCTTCATACTTGTTACTTTCTTAAATAAATTTATTTCAAAAAAGTTTGTTATAAAAAAAAAACCCAGACAATTTGATGACCACATGATCATGGACACATAAAATCATATAATCTTAAAGTATAAGTTTGTGTTTCAGTTTATCTAAACAATCAGTCATTAATAACGTAACGGAATGGAATTCCAAATTACTCAATCGATATCATCCAAAGCTTTATTTTAAAAGTATTTTATCCTCTGCAGGAACTAGTTCCTCAAGAGAGCAATGTAGGTTGTGTAAAATGGAGATCCTTCAGCTTACGATAGGATATCTCTTTGGACAATTATACGTTTTATTTGGTAAGTTTATACAAATCTAAATAAGTATTAAATGAGGTTGGTATTTATAGTGATGATTTTATGAACATTATTTTAAAATAATCTTCGATATTAATGCAGCAATAATGGAAGTGCATTTAAAAAGTCCAGATAACATTACTTCTAGTATTTACTTAACAATTAACAACGAGGGTTATTAGTCCCCTACCGGTGAAACCGAGGGGACTATATAGTTTTTTCAGATATCGGTATATAACGCAAAACTTAAGCAATAATTCTTTACATCTTGCTACCATATATGATAGACAATTATACTATTTATTTCTTTATTTTTGCAAAAATAATTCAGACGTAAGGAAGGTTTGGTAGCTTTTAACACAAATTCCGGATGGAGGTTTTCCTTACATTTACAGTTAATGCAATTACAATTATAATATTTTGCACTGGTTTGAAATAGTCTCATTCATATATACTCATGTATAATGAAGACATTGCTCGCTTGAACTGATCAAATGAATAGTATGACAGAATTTTATTGAGCATTGGTGAAATTAATCTGTGGGGTTTTTTATTTCCTCTGTATACCTTTTTTATAAAACCCCAAAAAGAGTGCCGAGTAGTTCATCTTGTCGGCTATTAAGTTTTATGTTCACTGATTTTACTCAATACGCCCTCGTGTATCGAATAAATCAGCTATTCGTAAAATATTATATTATGTACAAAAAGAAGAATACCACAGCAAGAGTTTGAATTAATTTTTTTGGATACATTTTTCTTCATAAAATAATGAGAAAATCGACTGGAAAATGATCACACTTAGCGCGAGTCAATATTCCAACAGATTTTCGAAAGACCTGTCTCCAAAAACTACCAAGTAATCTTTTTTAATAACTTGAGTGTGATAAGAATGATATTGAACAAAATTATAATGTACATATGTGCTGTGTCAGAGTGATAGGAAAATTTCCGGATTCCGTTCTTATAATTATGAAATGGAGATGATTGGAATGAAAATAAATACACTGCATTGCTGAAATCTTTAGGTATCAAATAATCAGAAAGTACCTGTACCTGTATACTAGTATAAAAAATCGAACATAGCTTACTGAAGACGAGATTTCCTGAAATTCAAGCTCAAAAGTCTATTAAACAAAGTAAATTTTGGAGCAAAGCTGGCAAGTGGTGGCGTCTCCATATGAGTGAAAAATTCTCAAGAGGCACACAATCAATCAATCAACCACTTCCAGTTCGAGAATTTTTCAGTCATATAGAGACGTCATCATTTATGGGTGAAGGGCTTCATATTAAGACCTTTCCTCGGCACTCAGGTTCATTGATCAATGAGGTAAGCGTGACACGGGGTCTCGTTTTCTACGGTCTCATCCAAAAGACCCCCAAATTCACTTCAAAGTGCTGAGCGCTATACGAAGTTACATTTATCTGTTTTTTATCGACGTAGGTTAGTCGCGGTCGCGATTCGAACACAGGACCTACCAATGGCAGAGCGAGCGCTCAATCGACTGAGCTGCAGTGATGGCGAAACAATTTATGGCTTACTATTATAAGTTTTTGATTAACTTTTAATAGCACTGGAAATGTTTCGTCAGAAGTAGTAAATAAAATTAAATTCCTTATATGGAATATTATCTTGAGCAAAGACAATGAGGACAAATATGCAGATAATTTGTGCTTAAAAAAAGACGTACCCTCGTGAATGAAATCAAATACATGTATCTTGAATGTGAGGAAAATAAGGTTAAATCTACGACTATTCCATGGCACCTGATCCCACCTCTGGTGTTTCAGAGGTCCGTGTATGCTCTGCTCTTATTTTGCATTGCTTTATGGACTTTGAGATTGAATACTGTTCGTTATCTCCATATCCTTCATCTATTCTTTAAGATCAAGGTTTCATTATCTAAGAATTACTGATGCTTGCATATATTGTGAGTACACAGATCCCCTTGTTGCTTGATTCAGACGTAATAATTGTCATTTAAAGACCATATCAAAGGAAACTAACTATAACTTCCTGTCATTCGATTCACGCGCAATAAAAATGTCAGTAATTAATGATCATTGAAAGATAAGCGCATTATTAATCGCGTGTTTAATACTCTACAGCACATGTCCTGGATTATTAATTGATAATATAAGCCTCTCACTTTACAAAAAGTACAGCTATGGGAAAATAAAAAGTCACAACTCTCTTAAAAAGTGCATGCCAATTGATTTTTTTTTCATTTTCCCTATCGTTTAATAAAAGACGGCATGTCTATGTAAAAAGAGGTGTTAAACTGTCAGAAGTCCGATCAACTATAATATTTTGGGTCTATTCTAAAAATTGATACTTTTTTGAGATTTTGCGCTTTACTTACTCTTACAAAATAAGATTTAAAGAATTTTAAAACTCCTGCTACGATTTTCGGTTAAAATTTATATGCTTTTATCCAAAAATGAATTTGTTCATTATCATTTATTAATATTTTACTTTCATATAATAATATCAAAGCTGCGCGTTTTTTTCTTCATTTTAAATTCAAAACATATACTAAAGCTTCTGAGATAATTAAAGGTACATGAAATGTGCTATGTAATGAATACGCAATAATAGACTAATATTTACATTCGCTGTAGTATTCTACTAAGCAAACAGTGAAATTGATCTGAATATCATTTTCGTGTATACTCACGCGTAGAAATATACACGGAGACACGCGTTAACGTGAAGTCACAATGAGACTGCAGCGACGTTAGTAAAAGTGAAACGATATAGGGCAGCGAAAAATTCAAATAATACGTATATTCTAGTTGCTTCCAAACATGTAAAATGTAAATATAAGGAATGTTTTTAAGTTTAGTGTGAATTATTGGTGTGAGAATCACACAGACTTGCACGTAGGCATATTTTCATGAAGCGCGCTAGCAAGACTGTGTGATTCACACGCCAATAACTCACACAAAACTTAAAAAACATTCCTTAATTGTGCAAATGTCACATCAAATCAAATACTGGATAGTAAAACAAACTTAAAATGGTCCATTTGATTTACATATGTGCATGTATAAATATTTATTAAAAGATTTAGAATTTCCCCCTAGAATTCCACTCTTAACATGCTGCCCTATCCAGGGGGTAGAAAAAATGGTTCGTATCAGTCTCGCATGAAAATTCAATATAAGCAGAGGAAAATTAATTCTCGATAACATGCACAGTATTCAATATATTTTGTTCTTTTTGAAATACGACTCTAAATATTCTTTGTGTAAAGAAATAAATGATTCTCTATATTTAAACATTATGTATCAATTTCATCCTAAATATCAATATCTTGATTCCACGTGTACATACAGGGACGTGTTGGATATTAGAAAAATAAATTTGATCATAAAATTATGCCTTATTGACAAAAAAGGCAGTTGCAAATATTAATGTGTCATCCACAGAAACTATACAAACTATAGGATCACAACGCTCACCTGTCACTTGACTCTGTTGTACTTCTTCAGGTTTTGAAAAAATATTGCAGATCATCGACGGAAACCCACGCGGATGATTGCACATATACGAGCAGAAATGAAGTATACTTCTTATGAATGATAATCTTTGTTGATACGTCTTCAAACAGAATTTTCAAAATGATGTTCTCTGGTAAAGAATTGGTGTCCAAGGGTGGGGCATACATGCATGAACTTTACCAAAATTTTTGTTTACTGATTTACTATATTCAGCATATCTGGATGGAGTATCAATCGATGCATATCTTGATACATCTGGAGGACCGAGAAGCAGTGTAAACGGTTTTGAATAAACCTTGCCAATTTTCATATATGTTGTCATTGGTCTACAAGCAGATATATTTTATTTCTTATACCCATGCAACAAAAATTGACTGAAAGTTGCCTTGAAGACATCCTGATATCAATTTTGACCAAGAGAAAGACAAAGCACTTGAAAGACTTCTTAATAATAATAATAATAATAATACAGCCTTTATTTAGCCAGGATGACACACTTTAACAACAATTCTAGTTTTCAATATGGTCCTACAATATAACATACATACAGACAAGTATTAGTAAAATACAGTTTTAAAGAAAATGGAGTGCATAAAAGATTTTTTTTAATTAAAATTTAAGATAAAAGAATACTAAACAAAATTAAGCCGCATGTTGATATATAAAAGATACCACAGAGTCCGACACTTCTGTTTCATACTTGGATATTTTACTTGAAAAAGACACTAATGGTAATCTAACAACCAAGCTATATGATAAACGTGATGACTTTAACTTTTCTATCGTCAACTTCCCTTACTTATGCAGCAATATACCTTCATCACCTGCATACGAAGTATATATATCTCAGATGATTCGATACGCAAGAGCATGCTCTACGTATGAATGATTTCTAAAACGAGGTAAATTATTGACAAGCAAGTTGACGAAACAAGAATATCAGCAGTCTCGTTTAAAGTCATCATTTCTTAAGTTCTATGGTCGATACAATGACCTTGTCAGCAAATACAGTTTATCATTGAGTCAAATGCTGATTGACGTTTTCCATACTAATTGTTAGTCAATTATTTATACACTGAAATGACGACGGATTTTTTCCGTTATTTCCTGATCATGACAAGGAGCACACGGCAGATGTGACCGGTCGGCAGGGGATGCTCACTCCTCCATGGTACCTGATCCCACCTCTGATGTGTCGGGGGTCCTTGTTTGTTCTGCTTTAATTTTGTATTGTTTTATGGACTTTGAGATTGAATACTGTTCGTTATCTCCATATCTTTCTTTCTAAGATAGTTCCTTTTTATAACATACAACAGTTGTCGAATTTCTTATGTTTTCACACAGTGCATTCCATACATTGCTACCTGAAACAACGAAAGATCTTTTATAGTACTCAGTTTTTGCCCGGGGTACATACAATTGAATTGGAATTTCTTGTCTGTCTTTGGCTAACATCTGATACATACCGATAATTTAAAACGTTCAAATAATTAGGCATCAAT